TTCCCCTGCACCCCTTCCCCTGCACCCCCTCCCCTGCACCCCCTCCTTGCAGCCATCTCTTGCAACCCCTTCTCCCCTCACCTCCTCACTTTTCCCTGCCCGCTCCGCAATCCCTTTGGAAATGGCGTAGGATCTCTTCTGCTCAGCTCCGGGCTCTTCACAGCCGCCTCCCCGGGCAGGGCTGGGTGCCTGCCCGCCCTGCCTGCCCTGCCTGCCCGCGGAGCCCTGCCCTGCCTCCTGCCTCCGGTTCCTCCCGAGGGCAAGAATAGCTGATCAGAGCCTACAACGCAACACCTCTTCCTCTTCCTCCCGCCATGCCCGCGCAGCCTTTCCAGCCTCGCGCCTCTTCCCTGCCCGGTTCTGCAAAGCTAAACCACCGGCAGCCGAAGAGCGAGGCACCCCAACCGCCGCCCTGCGGGCTGGCCGCGCCACCCGTGCTCCTGGGGCCACCCCGATCGCCACCCCAGCTGGCACCCAGCAGCACGAGGCTCCACGCCGAGCCGGGTCCCGGCAACGGGCTGCAGCGGCTCACCGAAGCCTTGGGAGAAGGGGCTGGTTCCTGCACCAGCCATGGGCAATGTGGGAAAGAAGGAATGTCACCCATCTGCCTGATTTTTCACGGGGCAAATTGAAGGATTAGTGTCTGGAGGAAGCTTGGGCACGGTTTCCTTGTCAGCAAATAAATGCCAGGCGCCGAGCAGGCAGGGGCTCGGTGCCGAGAGCAGGTATTTCACGCCCAGGCCCTGCCCTCCGACACAGGTGGAAATTGCAGCCGTGCAAACGGTGCCGTTGCAAAGCGCCCCGAGAGCTGCCGAGCGTTGGGCAGAGACCCCCGGTGGCGGGTGTCCTCCGGCCCCGGGTTGTTCCCTCTCCCCGTGCATGACTTATTTACGGGCTGGGTTTTATGTGCTGCAGGGAGGATGCAATTTCCCGTAGCGCAGCGTCCTGGGCACGTTCCTCGTCTGGAAGGGACGAGCATCGTTCTGAGACATAAAGGCACTTCACGCAATGCATTAGCGGTTTTTCTTTAGCCCTGGACTTGAGCCCATGATGAGCTCAGAGGCCTCACGTTGAAAACTTCTCTCAAAGTGCTCTGAGAAACCGTAGAGCAGGCGCTGATATCCCAACAGCGAGCCCTTCTCGGGCCGCTGGGAGAAGCCTTTCCTTCGGAAATGGCCTCCACACCACTCATCCCTTCGCGTTCGCCCCTATTTCTGGAAGAAAGACCCGCCCTGAGGGATTTTAATGTTTTCAGCACTGCATCACAACGCTGCTGGGCTCTTTCACTTCTTGCCATCTCGTGATTTCTAGCGGTTTCTCTCTCTTCCCTGCCTGGTCCGTGCCTGGACGGGTTTCCAGGCTGGTGGTGGGGTGGCTGCGCTGGGCTGGACGCAGTGGCTTGGCCCCCCGGGGAGATGCTGCTCTGTATCCAGCCTTGGTAATTCCTCCCTTCCACCAAATGCCATCCCTTCTTCCTTACATCCCGGCTCCTCGGCACCCAGGACCATCCCTTGGCACCCCCAAACTCCTCTGCTTGAGGCTGCAGGCGGAGCGGGGAGCCCCGGGAGGGCCCCGTGGGGCGGCGGGGCTGGGAGCTGCCCCCCTCCCCTCTCCCGCTGTCCCAGCTCAGCACCCACGTTGGGAATGGGGAATCAGCACCGCTCCTCCTGCACACTAAGAAGGGAGGCGGGAGCGTGCTGGGGACGGGAAAGGGTTGGGAAAAGGCTGGGCGGGATGCGAGGCTGCTGGATTTGGGGTTCATGGCCGTGCCCAGGTTTGCTCCCCAAGAGCACCGCAGGTGTAACACGGGGTTTGCAATGACCCGTCTCCCTCCTGGGGTGTCTCCAGGCCACGGGGTGGAAAAGTTCCTGTCCCGGGCCGTGGGGCAGAAAAGTTCCTGTCCCCGCCACCCTGCAGGTGCTGCGGCCGCGCCAGCTGTGGCACTGACCCGGGGAGAGGGTGCTGCGGTGCCGCTGTGCTGGGGAAGGGGACGCGGGGGCACAAGCTGCCCCGGCCCCGCGGTCATCGCATGGGGCTGCCACGGCGCTGGGTTTCAGCTGGCTTCTGTGCCCCCCTCCCTCCCGTGAGCCGAGTTCTGTCCGTTCTCCGCTGCTGTCTCCCAGCGGTCACGGCACGGGGATGCGCAGTGCGTTGCGGTGACCGTACCGGGGGGGACGAGATGGGAACCGAAGCCAGGGGTTGTGGCAGCACAGAGATGCTCTGGGAAGCTCTGCCCTTCTCTCATAAAAGTCCTTTATTAGAACAGCAAACATGACACTTCTCTTCAGTACAGCGGCTGTATGCAGCTATCATCGCGGTACAGGGGGATGACGTCTTACAATCACTGGGAGTCTAATAAGCACCATGGACATCCTAAAGAACCGGGGATAACGGCTGAGAGAGGAGCCCCGGGTGAGCCGGCCACGGGGGCTCGTCAGGAATTCACCAAAGAGCTGCTCGGCGTTGTCCCGCAACACGGCTCTCCTGCAGCTGAGAGAAACTCCTCGGTGTAAGTCAACAAGATAGCACCCATCCAATAAATTAGGTAAACTTAATACTAGAGCAACAAGGGAACGAACGGGACCGTCCTAGAGAGAGGGCACGCTGGAAGGGAATGGTCTATTTACACTCGTCTTTCTGCTGGACCGGTGCTCCCGTAGCTCCCCCCCAGCCCCAGATCCATGAGCCGCGGCTCTCCGGCCAGGCTGGGCACGCTGGCAGCCGCCCGGCAGCGACACCGCCGCCTCCCCCGGCCCCGCCAGCCGCGCTGGGGAGACGAGGAGGGACGGAAAAGCGAAGCGTGGGGACATGCGCATGCAGGCGCCCTCGGCACGGGAACGGGGGCTGGCACCGGGCACGGCGCCCACCACCTCCCACTCCTCTCCTGCCTCTGAATTACCAGAAAGTCAGGGTAGGGAGTGGAGGCTGACGGGAACTGCTGCCGGCAGCAGGTACGGGCAGGGCAGCGGGCACCTATTCCTGAGTGCGTGGCAGGGCTGTGGCCAGCTCTCCTTCCTCCCCATCCTCATCCCCATCCCCGGCTCCCTGTCAGACCCTCACTGCAGAATGAATTCTCCGGTGAACGGAAGGACACTATCAGTTAGTATTTAAGGCTAGGCTTTATACGGCAACTATAAAAAAATAAATGCTAATCTCCAAAGAGCCCGACGAGGGCTCTCCGGCGTATGGCTGTGGCGCGTGTGCCGGCGCCGGGCTGCGGGGAGCAGGGGGAAGAGCACGGCGCGGGTGCTCGGCACTGGACCGAGGGCCTGCCGGCACCCGGAGCACCCGGGGACAGGGCAGCCCCCCCCGTGCCCCACAGAAACACCTCGGGGGGACAAGGGACAGGGCTGGGTGTTTTGGTAAGGACGTGGAGACTGACTGGTAATCCAGGACCCACCTCTACATGTGACCGAGGGCGCTCTGCAAGAAAGGCCACGGGGGAAAGAAATATCCTGCAAAGTAACGGGGCTGGCGTGGGTGAAAGCTTTCCCGTGGCGGGGGTCCCTCCGGCCAGCCCCACGGGAGGGGTAAGCGCTCTGCCAAGCGAGACGAAACTGCCCCCCCCCCCCAACCCCAACTCAAATCAATAAAACCAAACCTAAAAGTGGACACAGAGGAACATCTCAGGCTACCTAGGTACTTCATCAGCCAAAAAGAGCTAAACAGCGAAGCGCACACACACAGGACAGCGCGGGAGGGCGGAGATCAGAGACGGCCAAAAGCCAGGTTCTTCTTTCCTGCTTTGCCTCCCCGTCTCCGGCCGGCGGCCGAGCAGGGACCCGGCAGCTCGGCGGGCTCCGGGAGCATCCTCATGGCATGGCCGAGCGCGAAGCGTAGAATTCGGGGACCGGCAGGCCGGTGTGCAGCGTCACCTGCAACGAGACATACGGGGCTCAGCCGCATCCCTCCGTGCCCGGCGGGACAGCCCACGGTGAGCGGCCGGCACAGGGACCTGGGGGTGGGAGAGGTTGTCCCAGGACCACAGCGGTGGCTCTGTCTCGCTGTTTTATGCCTTGCTTGCGCTGCTGAGGCCCCTGTGAAGTGGGACTGCGGGTACCAGCGGTACCAAGCCTCAAATATTCCCAGCTGGCTGCGGACGGATCCAATGGTCGGCTGCCAGGGAGGTGGGACACAGCAGCATCTTTCTGCAGATGGGATGGACAAAAGGGTACGGAGGGGGCTGAAGGAGACCTCCGAGAAGGCCCTGAGCGGAGGGGACGTGGCTGATTGCCGGTGGGAGGAGGGACCCCCGTGGTGGGGAAGCTGAGCAGCAGCAGGGTGCTGGGGCAGGGCCATGGAACATTGGAACAGCAGCAGTTTCCCCTTCAGACAGAGATTTATAGAAAACTTTGTCTAAAATACAATTATTTCCCTCCTAATTAGAGTAATTTTTCATTACTCATACACCTTTGAAGAAGGATAATGAATGGCTTGGGTTTATTAGCAGCCTTTTATCAGCATCCCATGGGACTCCTCTGTTGGCAGGGGATTTAAGCTCTGCCTTGCTCAGAGAACTGTCAGAAAGCAGAGGGGCCCTAGACACGCGCTCGTCTTTTAGGGCTGTGATGAAGATTGTGGTAGGAATTAAACCCCTCACAGAGCAGGATGTCTTTACCACATCGAATGAATACAGCAACTCCTAAAACCAGCGCAGATGAGATGGGATTCTTTAATGTTTCCTAATTAAACAGCGGCACAGCCCTGGCACGTCGCACGCTTGCCAGCCCCTCTCCAAGCCCGCGAGGCCCTGGGGGGGGATGCTCCGGCAGGGATGCTCCCAGGGGTTGGGAAGGTACTGACCGACCTCTGCCCCAGCACTGCTGGAAGACTGTCACTGCCTCGGTGACAGCGCAGCATGCCCCGTATCCCAATGGACAACATAGCAGAGCACGCCCTAATCCACGGATCCCCAATTTCCAGAGGCCACTTGCTGCCTCTGCCCTCGCGCAGAGGTGACGCCTTTGACATCCACTGCAGACCACCACGCCAAAATGCTCGACACCCCAAGGTCACCCGTGACGTGCAACGTGTCCTAGGATGTGCCTGGGCGCTTGGGCAGTGCTGGAGGTGCAAACGGTGGCAGAGTGGATGTGCCAAAGCTGGGCTCGGTGAACACGGGGGAGTTGTTGTAGGAAAGGATAGCGGGGATGAGATCAGTGAGAAGAAAAATGAAAGATGAAAATACCAGATAGGCCCAGGGAGCCACCGCTTGGTGATGTTCAGGAGAGCTGAGAGCTTGGGAGAGAGGGAGAGAAGAGGGGTTTGAAACGCCCCAGAGGAAAACGGGCTTTAAAAGGTGCCCTTCTCCCTGGTAATGCTCCTGTCTGGGTCCAGGGAGAGCTGTAACAGCTGGTGAGGCTCTTGCAGGGGAGTATCACAAAATGGAGTTGTCAAGCCCCATCAACCAGGAGGGCTGGAGAGCCCTGGTGCTTCATCAGCCCTGACGGAGAAACCTGGAGCAGGGAGCCGGCGGCAGCCTGATTTTAGGACTTGCAGGTGGTTTAGGGTGTAAATTCAGCCCTTTCCAAGCTGCCCCTGTGGCACGAGAGCCCTCCCCACTCCACAAAGTCCCCATGCTGCTGAGCATCAACAGACACTGCGGTGACGGCAGCATCAGAGGGAGCTCGCCAGCAAGCTCAGCCGCAGGGCACGCTGCGGCGGTGCTCCGGAGAGCAAGGTGAAAGCACATACCTGCACGTTCCTGTTGAGGCTGACTGCGGGGAAGAAGAGGCCCTCCAGGTTCTCAAAGGCAACGGGCCCTTGCTGGTCCTCGTTGATGGAGAATGTCAAGGTTCTCCTGGTCAAATCCAGCAGCACTCCCACTGTGGCGCCTTTCGTTATCCCACCCTCGGTTCTGCGGGGGCGAGAAAAAGATCAGAGCATCTCTGTGGCTTCATGTCCCTTGTGCTCCCGCCTCGGGGTTCAAGCCACGGACCTCAAGGGCTGACGATGCTGAACGTCACAGCTCACTCAGGAGCCAGGCCACGACCTGCACCCATCCCAGCCACGCTCGCAAGTCCCTGGGCACCTCCTCGAGCCTCCGGCAGAGGTGCTCTCCGCTTGCCATGATGTCCCTGAGGGCAAAGCTACCTACCAGAGCAGCCACGGCAAGACAACCACGGGGGAAAGCAAGTGGACCTGGGGAGTAAAGCTGCAGGGCCCACTTCAAAACCTGCTGCCCCATCAGGGAACGGCCCTTGAGGCCGCAGGAAGGTGACACCAGGCTCTCCCCACGCTTCAAAGCCCTCAGCCCCGCTGTCCCACGGGGAAAGCGAGCAATAGCTGTGGCACAGGGATCAAGGCGAATGCTATTCTCTTGTTGCACGAGTCGCAGGGCTTCGGGTGTTAACGGGAAGGGAGCGCTACAGAGGAGCAGTGCCGTGCGTGCTCG